TGGTTAAAAACATCACTAATGGACTTCTTGGCTTCTGTGGTTGGTTTCTTTTCCGCCTGGTTAAAAATATCACCAATGGACTTCTTGGCTTCTGTGGTTGATTTCTTTTCCATCTGGTTAAAAATATCACTAATGGACTTCTTGGCTTCTGTGGCATTATTTATATTACTAGTGGTATCCGTGGTTGCTTTCTTTGGCGTCTCGTTATTTATATCAATAGGGAACTTCTTGGCAAATATGCTTGCTATCTTTTCTATCCCATCACTTGTAGCTGCTTTCTTTGGCGTCTCGTTATTTATATCACTAGGAAACTTCTTGGCAAATGTGGGTGTTTTCTTTTCCATCTCGTTACTTATATCATTTGCAGCTGCTTTCCTTCTCATCTCCTTAATTATTTCACTAAAAGACTGTCAACCAAGTGTAGTGTTGAGTCAGTAAGTGGTGTCTTATGGAGAAATAGGAACTTAGTCATAACCATACCTTTGTTTCTTCATTTGTCTTGTTTTCCGAGCTCGCATTTTCTTCCTTGTCATTATTTAGCATTGTGATTGGCTGGCATGCAGGTGAATCAAAGATTTTTCTTGAATCAGTGGTAGTGTGCATATAAGTTTACACAGAAATCGGAGTTATTCAAAGCTATACCTTTACGAATTCCTCTTTCTTCAACTTTGATCTCATTTTCAATTCCATCTCCTTATTTCTATCCCTAGGGGATGCCTGTCATGAGGTGAAATTAAAGGTTTTGCTGAATCAGAAAATGTGAAAGGGAACTACTATAAAGTTATGCAGAAATTAGATGCTAGTCGTGACTATACCTTTATCTCCTCATTACGAGCTCTAGCAAGAGCCTCACTCTTTTCTTTGGCAATAGCATTTTGACGCATCTGTTAAAACAACAACACAATCAATTATATACGACCTCCTTTTTATGAGCTTTGGTATTTGGCATTTCGTGCAAAGTGTCCCCTCCACATGAACCAGGCAAAAAGAACTGATGGCACATCGTAGGAATCAATCCTAAGGACTCATGTCCAGGGTTTGCATACATGGATTGGGATTGCGTGAGAAGTAAAAATTTCATGACAAGCGTAGGAACGTTATAATAATCATGGAAATCTTAACATAAGTAAACATGAAAATGTTAACATAAGTTAACATACTTTAACATGAAATGTTAACGAAAGTTAACATGTCAACATATGTGAACATCCATTAACAAAGTGCTTCTCATGAAATTGATTTCTCACCGGAACCCACCCTTGCATATGTATGTGTGCAAATGTTCATCATCAACAGTATGCACAACTGCTTACCTTTTCTTTGTGGCTCTCCAATCGTTTTTCAAACTCCTCTATGAGTTTACGTAACACAATTTCAACAACCTGTGGCACAAGGGGAAGAGCCGATATATAAACTTTCTTGAGCTTGTGAAACAACTGTATTAAAGAGAACCTTTGATTTAAGAAAACATCTATAACTCACCACAGGAATATCTTCTGGCTTCTTATCCGAAAGAAGATCACGAATACGCATGTGAAGTGGCTTATGAATAGAAGAATAACTCAATTAATCATCAAAGGATTTTACTTGTTGCATAATTTGTTAAGAAAAACTAAAGCACACTAACCTTATCTTTAACATCTTTCCAAAGATCACATTTATCCATATCCAATGACTTACGAACAATTTGCTTCCTTTTTGAAGAGGCTTTTGGATTCCCATCATACCTAAATGACCCGTTTCCACCTTCTTTTTTCCAGTTGCTGTATGAATTCAGGGCTAGTACACAGTTCACGACTTTTGGTAACCTTCCCCACTACATGTTACAATCAAAATAACTAGATAAATAAAGGAGCACTGCATATGATTTTGGGGTTTGATTTCTAGTACCTGTTCTAAATCATCGACTTCAAAAGATGGAAGTCCCCTTTCTTCTATGGCCTCAAGAAAATTTGTGATATTGTCAAAGTATAAGCATTCAGATAGAGGTTCTCCATCAGGTACAATAACAGAATCGAAGGGAGCTTCCACGATCTGAGAGACCCAACATATATACATCCCTTTTAATTGTCAAAAAAGGAATTGCTTACCATATGAAAAGATCATCGGAAAAAACAACTCTTACTTTAGGAATAGCACCAGGTTCAATCTTGTTAAGCACAGTGCAAAGGATAATCCCACTTCTTAACCCCATCCTAAAATCTTCTTCTGAAGGCTCAGAAGGCAAATCTTTTGCAGCCACCACACCTACCATCTTTCTTAGCCATCGTGTTGCTTCATTTCTTTTTGTTGCTGGGAATTGCAAATACCCCCAGAATCATATTTCTCTTTACCAAAATCAAAATGCCATATCTAACCCAAAATCGAATAACCCATACACACACACACAACGCCAACATGCAACGTATGAAATGAAATTCCAGTAGCTGACAATAAATCAAACACCCACGAGGCATGAATCCATACTTTACCCAAAACAAATAACAAAATACCCAATAAACCTAAAATTAACTAGAGAAAGTGAAAACTGAGATGATGGGATATGCGGAATTAAACACCGATCGTACATTTCAAAGAACCCCAACTACTTGTATATAATTTCTATAAATGATGATAGAAAGAAGAAACTTACCAGCTTTTGCTTTTGCATCATTCCTGGATGCATTGACTGCACATAATTCCTTCCCATGCTCCAGAAGAACATCTTCAACCATTGCCGCCACAGAGAGCTCTAATTTGTCACCAGTTCCCGCCATATCTTTTAAACGAAAAGACACCCAGAAATCCTAACACCCTTTCGATCACAAAAACTCAACTTCTTGCGTCCTATGACACTTGTTGAATACTACCCGTGCAGAAATGTACGTAACATGTTGCAAGGATGAAGAACGAAAGTGATAAACAAAGAGGAAGGGGTACAGAGGCAAAGAAAGAATCATTGAAAATAGAAAATTCAAGTTTGTGGTTTGTTGATCGACCCTCTTTCCTCTTTGTGTTTGATTTATTTATTAGTTTTATTAATTAATTTTTGAACAAGAATGTTGTTGATGGAGCAACTGCTATGTGTATGTTTGGGAGGAAAAAAGGATGGTTGTTACAAAAGGTGGGAAATAAAGAGAGTTCCGCGCCTCTCGCCATGGAAGGAAACCTCTAACGGCTTATAATTTACAAAGGCGTAGGCCAATCTTTTTGCCTAAATTACCTATTTACCCCTCTTTTATTGGGGTCTTGACAAAACTAATCCCCCAAGATATTAAATTTATCGAAATAACCCACAAAAATGATATTTCTAAAGTTAGCTCATCATTTAGCATTACGCACTAAATGGTGCATACAGAAGTCTTTTTGCAAAAAAAAAAATTGGTTTTAATAGTGGGTCCCACATATGATAACCATGTCACGTCATGTGACAACTCTTTGGTCAAATGCATTATGATTCTTAAGCACCATATCAAGCGCAGTGCGTAAGGGTGGGTGTTACCAAATATCTTTACCAGGGTGCGTAAGGTTGAGACCGATGTGTCGTCTTAAGAAAATTAAGCCATTTGCTTATACCTTTTCTGAATTTTTAGGGTCAGTAGTGGGGTTGATTGTGTAGTTGTAGTCCTTTCCAATAAAGGTAGTCTCTACATCTGATGCCCACCTGTGGTATTCGAGTCCTTTTGAATTCAAGATATGAAATTCGGGACGAGTTGGTTCAACCATTGACATAAATAAGAGATCAGGTATTTTATTTTATACAGAAAAAAAATTATCGTACGCATGAAATTTCATTATCACGACAGTATAGAATTGTTAAATGTTGGTATTTGCATACATCTTTTGCTCATAATGATATATCCGAATATTTCAATATTTTAAAATAAATCGCAAGAGACTTTTAGATTTCGATGTAGGAGGGGAATCACGTGGATTACTTAAGTCCCTACAACCTTTAGGACTATTTACGCTCGTTTAACAAAATCTTTCGGTATCATACAATTACTTAATTATTATCTTCATAAAATGTTATATTATTAAACCAAAAATAAATTATTTGATTATTAAACTTATTAAAATATAATTAAAAAATTAATTATATAAAGAAATTATAAAAAATGAGAACTTTTAAATAGTTGATTTGATATTAACATTGATATATTTTATTCAAATTTTTATGATATCTTTAAATTTATATTTTATTCAAAAATAAAATCATTATTGTTTTCTTAAAAACACATAAAATCATCTTATAACATCGACAGAGACAAAAAATAAAATAGAACATTAAAATCGAGATGTGTCTCGCTGCATTGTACGAGTACTCCTCTAGTAATACACTAATAAGTAAGAATTCATATTTAATAAATTATTAATCAAATAAATAAACAAATTAAAAAGAATGACCTGTCATTATTAAATTTCAAAAGGCACTCCTAAACCACAAGGGTAATGTGCTGATATTTGATTGGTTTGAGCTTGACTTCAAGGGTTAAAAGTTGGATTGCAGTAGCGAATAGATGGAGTAATTGATTGATGATAACAAAAATTCGAAAATTGATTATTGAATTGCCTGACTGAACGTAATGACGTGTCGTGGAACAATCGATATAGAGAATCAGAAAAACCGTCCATTCTCATCAATCATAATCGCTTTAATTAGGAAGGGTTTACAAAGAGATAATTATGAGATACGTAATTTAACTCTAATATATCTATCTATATATTTATATATATATATATATATATATTGTCATATCCTTTTGACGATGACACATTTATCCTCCAACAAGAGAAATATTTTTCAAGTATATTTCCACAAATAGGAAACTTCGAAATTAAATATTTAGAAAGGGAAATTATATCTTACTAGATAAACAAAATATTTTAATAATATAATTAATGTTGTAGTCTTTAAAATAAAGAATCCGTTGAATTCAAATGCGTTTTTGTTTTAGAGATCTTGAAGTTCCATTTTCATTTTGGAGAATCTATTGAAAATAAGAGGCCGTTTACCAAACGCTTACTCGGGTAAGTGAACATCAAGTCTCGTTACCTTACCAGATGAATATAGTAAGGATCAAGAATCATACCCGGTAAGAACGAGACAAATACCAAGAGTTTTACCCGATAAGTGAAGGTGACGACTCTTACCATGGTAAGCGCTTACCATGTGAATTATTGCATACGATACCGTTTTGGTGAACTAAAATTTTACCCGGTAAGTAACTGATAGTGTTAAATTTTACTGGTAAGCACTTACCGAGTAAGTGTTTGGTAAACAGCCCCTAACTCTTATATAAATGCAAACTTGGATTTATTTAATTATAATTGATGCTAATCATTAATTAAATTTATTTTCTAAGTATATAAATCGATGGTAAGCATCTTCAGTATACGACGAATGAATCCATCGTATTTCAATACAAAATAAAGTTCAAACAAAACGATTTTTGTAAATCTGTTTCTTATCTACGATTGCAGAAACATTCATAGGTAACGGAAACATAGAAGATAAGTTACTAATCATACATTATAAGTAATAAAATTTGTCTACAACGTTAAATTGACGAAAAGGAAAAAAGAAGCCAAGTCAAGCCTCCGTTCGTGTTCGTGTTCGTGTTCGTTTAATTAATGATTAGCATGAATTATAATTAAATAAATCCAATTGATTCCTCATTGTAGAGAATACAACATTGAGTATGATATTAAAATATTTAATTTATCTAGTAATATATTATTTCTCTCTCTAATAATTATTTTCAAAGTTTCTTATTGGTATCTCATTTGGTAATCATTTTTGAGGTTATCTTCATATTTGAAGAAAAAAAACCTTTTATTTTCTACTTTTTTTTTATTTTGAAGATAGTTTTGAAAAAGCTATTGGAACAAAATATTGATTCAAAATCCTCATTTTCTTCATTTTGGAGAAGTTGTTAGAGATGTTCTAAGAGCAATTCCAATGCAATGTTTTTATAAACAAAAAGTGAAAGGGTTTGTAGAAACTATCATTGTAAAGAGTTCTTATAAGAACTTCAACCTCTTTGAGTTTGTGTATAAGAATCTTGGTTATTACTGAGGTTCCGACATTTTCCTAGCTTTTTAATATTTTATTAACTTCATAATTATATATATATATATATATAGTTGTAAACGAACCGAACGTTCAACGAACCGTTCGTGAACCATTCGGCGAAAAGTTCGTTTATTTAATAAATAAACGAACATGAACAAATTTTTTTGTTCGTTTAGTTAAACGAATGAACATGAACAAGAGTCTCGTTCGTTCATTTATCTTCGTGAACGTTCGTTCATTTACCATTCGTTTACGTTCGTTTATATCGTTCGTTTATGTTCGTTTATATATTAAATTTAATATACAATCTTTTGTTTATATACTTTGAATTCAAATAATATTTATTTATGTTCGTTTAGCCCGTTCGTTTATGTTCGTTTAGTCCGTTTGTTTATGTTCGTTCGTTTAACATGTTAACGAACGAACATAAACGAACACGAACATACCTGATTTCTAAACGAACGAACACGAACATACCTGATTTCTAAACGAACGAACACGAACACAAAGATTTCCGTTCGTTTACCGTTCGTGTTCGTTTGTTTGTTCGGTTAAGTTAAACGAACGAACATGAACAAGCCTCCGTTCATGTTCGTTTACAGCCCTCTATATATATATATATATATATATATATATATATATATATTGATGTTGGAAATATACATATGACATCAACCACATACTAAAAGCATCTTCACCTGTGAAAATGGAATGTGAAGTTACAAACATGTGAGGATGATGCGGCAGAAACTTTATTTTGAAAAACCCAAAATAGACGCAAACAAATAAGAATATCATACTTTGAATGGAGAGAGAACAAAACCAAAAATTTGTCTCAATAACAACAATCTTGATAGGTAAATGTAGAACAAACACATTTAAGGAATTGGAATTGGTGACAAAAAGGACACACAAGCTGCAGCAAAAAAAAACCTCTATAAATCCCAATTTATATATAACTTTACATAAATCCATCAAGATTTCACTCACCATCCCACACTATAATACTCAGGTCAGGAGTCAGGACCAGCACCACAAAACATAGACATGTCTTGACACCCTAACTTCAACAACAAATTACCTGAAAACATATATACATCTTTAAACAAAACCTGACATTAAACTATTTCTTGTATATTCTCAATGGCTTCTCAATCATGCATAACAGAAGTAAAAGTGAAATTGAGTACATACCTTCAATTAGTTGAAGTTGAATCCACCAGAGGGGACAGAAACATCAGCACCTCCAAATTGGAAACCAGACTGGGTTGTGTCACCAGGTGGCATTGCATCATCCTCTTCCTCCAACCAATATGTCTCAAGAAGCTTCACCGCTTTCTCATATATCTCATTGTTATCGTGACTCTGTAGGTTCTCAATTTTCTCCAATCCTTCAAAATCATCAATCATTTGTGCAAAAAGATTCACATCTCCTGATCGTCCCAAATTCTTCTCAGCTTCGCCCACCTTTAGTATGTTCTCTAGCCCCTCTAAACAGACCGTCACAATTCTCGGGTCTGGACAGATGAGTAGGTCGCACAATGGTTTGATACATCCCTGAGTAACTAAATACCTGCAATATTCAGTGATAAACTATTATTTGAAGAAACGCATTGATACTCAGAAACCTACTAGTAAAATAAAGGGAGAAAAGCAAAAATCCATGCCCAGGAATCATACTTAATTTGGTCATGGCTTCCACCAGAAGTAGCGTTTGAGATAGCCCATGCAGCCTCCTTTTTTATGTCAAATTCTGCATTTTGAAGCAAATAAACAAGAGGGCCGATGATATTTGCTTCGATGACAGTCTGTAGAATCACCAAATAGACAGACGGGTCAAAAATTGCAGCTTACTGAAACAAGGTTAATAGTTAAATCTAGTCAGTTGAGCTGGACAACAATCCCAGTGCAGAAATCTAACCTGAATCTGCTCCTTGTTGCCAGCAGTGATGTTCGATATAGTCCAGCAAGCTTCTTTCTTGATGCTCTTTT